ATTGACATAATAAACAATATATGTAAATAACATAAAAATCTTGATATACGCTCTAGGGAATGAATAAAATAAACTTTAACTGCTTTTTTAAACTCCACATCTTGACCTGTGCGGCAGATAGGGTACACATTAAAATACATTAAGCGGGCGTTATTGGTCTTGAAAATGCCATATTAATAAATAATAATAAGAAGCAATAATAATGCATGAGGCACATTTAAATGTGTTTATAAAGCGTTAATATAGAACTAAATTGACTTATCTATCTGATTTTTTTTGTTTCAAAATTGTATAATAACATGCTGTGTAACATATAAATTAACAATAAAAATATGAGATGGTCTTTCCAGTCGCTTGACAGAATTGTGACAGAAACATTTCATGTTCAGGGCTGGTAACAAACAACTTGTTGGTTTTTACAAACTCATGCGAACCTTCTACACTTTCATTCTCTCTCTCTCGTTATTCATTTAATCTTGTTTATCTCGCCTTCACTCTATATTAAGACTACAAATATTTGATAAGGTAAGTAATGAGTAAGCACTAGATTATAGTTTAATAATATTGCGTATTATTATTAATACGTTTAGTATGTACGTATTATGGTAATAATATTAATAATACGTAATATTAATAATAATGAATTTAGGGCATGGAGCACAGCATCCACTGTATTAGCACTTTGTCTGGATTTTTGGGGTTAGCCTAGGTAATTTACACTGTAGTTAAACTACTTGTGTACCTGTTTGTGTGTGGTGTGTGTGTGTTGTGTGTGAGAGAGAGAGAGAAGAGAGGAGAGAGAGAGAGAGAGAGAGAGGAACGAGAGAGAGGAGTGAGAGAGAGAGAGAGAGATATCTAGAGAGAGAGAGAGATATTAAGAGAGGAGAGAGATATAGAGAGACGAGAGAGAGATTTAGAGAGAGAGAGAGATATAGAGAGAGAGTGAGATATAGAGAGAGAGAGATATTATAGAGACGAGAGAGAGTTTAGAGAGAGAGAGAGATATAGAGAGAGAGAGAGAATATTAGAGAAAGAGAGAGAGAGATATAGGAGAGAGAGCAGAGACGATTTAGAGAGAGAGTGAGGAGATTATAGAGAGGAGAGAGGAGAATAGAGAGAGAGAGAGAGAATCGAGAGAGAGAGAGATATAGAGAGAGAGAGAGATTTAGTAGGAGAGAGAGAGATAATAGAGGAGAGAGCTTAGTGTGAGAGAGAGATATAGAGAGAGAGAGAGATATAGAGAGAGAGAGAGATTATATTAGAGAGAGAGAGATATAGAGAGAGAGAGATATATAGACGAGGAGCGAGCTATAGAGAAGAGAGAGAGTTAGAGAGAGAGAGTGTGTTCGGATGATAATAGAGAGAGAGAGGAGATATAGAGAGAGAGAGAGATCTATAGAGAGAGAGAGATATATAGAGGAGAGAGAGATAAGTGATGAAGAAGAGATATAGAGATATTGAAGAATATAGAGATATAGGTTATAAGTGATATAGTGATATAGAGATATAGAGATATAGATATATAGAGATAGAGCGATATAGGATATAGAGTCTAGAGTTATAGAGATATAGAGATAATAGAGTATAGAGATTCTTAGAGATATAGAGATATAGAGATATAGAGGATATAGAGATATAGAGATATAGAGATATAGAGATATAGAGATATCGAGATAGGTTAGTATTGATCCATATATTCTGTCACAGAAGCTGAATTACATATTGCTCATTTTGCGGTTGTCTCTTTACTTAGAGGTATAGGGGTATAATACTTCTGGCAGGATGACACTACCGTGGTTATTCTCCTTCCACGTGTCATTGTTACTTTAAAGATAACAGTACATACGATACTTGATAAAGAGTATCAAATGATTTAGATAGAAAAATTTGATATAATATTGGGGTAGGAGGAGTATGGAGAAGTGAATGTTTTCAGATATTTGGGAGAGTTGACGTGTCAGCGGATGGATTTATGAAGGATTAGGTTAATCATAGTATTGATGAGGGGAAAAAGGGAGTGGTCGTTGAGGTATATGTGGAGTCAAAAAACGTTATTATGGAGGCAACGAAGGAATGTATGAAAGTATGTAGTACCAACACACTTATATGGGGTGTGAAGCTTGGGTGGTAAATGCAGCAGCGAGGAGACGGTGGGAGGAAGTGAGATTTCCTGTTTAAGGGCAAGAGTTGTGGTGTAAAATATTTTGCAGAAAATTCGGTGTGTGGAAATTAGGAGAGAAAGGTGTGGAGTTAATAAAAGTATAGTCAGAGTGCTGAAGGAGGGGTTGTTGAGGTGTGGTTTTGGTCTGTGTAGAGAGAATGGATCAAGTAGAATGACATGGAGCATATAAATCTATAGGGGAAGGAAAGGCGGGGGGTAGGGAGTCGTCCTCGAAAAGGGTTTGGAAGTGGGGGTAAAGGAGGTTTTGTGGGCAAGGGGCTTGGGACTCAGCAAGCGTGCAAGTGAGCGTGTTAGATTAGGAGTGAATGGAGACGAATGGTACGTCGGACCTGACGAACTGTTGGAGTGTGCGCAGCGGTAATATTAGTGAAGGGATTCAGGTGAAACCAGTTAATTTTCATATAGTCGGACTTGAGTCCTGGAAATTGGGTAAGTACAAATGCTGCACTTTAAAGGAGGGGTTTGGGAGATATTGAGCTGTTTGGGAGGGGGGGGTTTTTTTAATGTGGTGTATCTTTATATGTGTATGCTTCTAAACTGTTGTATTCTAAGCACCTCGGCAAAAACAGTGATAATGTGCGGAGTGTGGTGAAAGTGTTTTGAATGATGATTGAAGTCATTGTCTTCTTTTGGGGATTTTCTTTTCTCTTTTTGGGTCAACCCTGCCTCGGTTGGAGAACGGCTCCCGACTTGTTGAAAAAAAAAAATCAGAAGAAATAAATTACTAGTAAAAAGAATGAAATAGTGATTGTACTATGACCGTTACTATGTAAAATTAGGTTTATATAGCCAAAACGTTTGTCATTATGCCCTACCGAGTATGTCGGCAATTTTCAAAGGTTCGAACTTGGGCCTTTTTTGACTTATGACCGTTGGTTGGAACCAAGCTTCAGTCGTAAGTCGGATGGTACCCAGTATTTTCTCATAATTTTCACCAACAATTAACCTGTTTTGCATCTGTAAGCAGTGTAAATTAAAACTTTGGTTAAAGTCGGATTTGCTATCCTTTAGGAATTGATTTTTTTTTTTTTATCATAACTGGCTTTTCCATAGAGGTAGGGTTTAGACAAAAAGAAGAAAAACTGAAGTTTTTCTTTTTTACATGTAATTATTTCTGTTGTAGGGAATATTGCTCATTGCTTCCTGTTTAGGATCATATATACTTCCCATAACCTTAATGCTATTGCTTCTATTACAAACCATATATATTATGTGCATATATTAAACTTTCAGTGCAGCAAACAGAAATGCTGACTGGAAACCATTTTTCCTTCTTTCCTGCCTCCATGTCGTATGTCTAACATCCTCATCATGAGTACCCTTACAGGTTTTCAACTTGTTACAATATGAGGCATACATTTAAAACACATGGCCGCATATCTTCCTGATAACCCTTACCCATGCTCTGTTACAGGCCATTTCTAATACCATAATGTTGCCACGGTCTTTGGTGTCCTGTACAGAATAATGTTTAGCTTTTGCTCAGTTGGTAATAAAAAAACTGGAGCCTATGCATATTTTTTTTTTTTTTCAAAACTCGGAGAAAAATGGTATGGAGTGTAAATTATCTTATGATTTTTGAGATATTCATATAGATGAGAGGAAAAAAATGAAAGAAATTAGATACCAGTACAGGTACAACAGATTTTCTGGCACCCTGGGTAAGATAAGGTAACGGTATTCTAGGGTTGCTTGGGTAATTTATCATGCCTCTAGAAATAAAAATTCATCAGCAGACTGCTTTGTTCCATAAATGAAGTCATTCTAGCTTATTATTTTGACCTGAATAAATCGGCTTGTTATTAGCCATAAAATAGTCTAGGCTTGTTAGCAAGAACATATTGAAGAAGACTCACACAAATCAGAGGATTACTACCAACAACTTGCAGTTTAAACTGGTGTACATGCATTACATGTCGCCATCTAGTGGCTTCTGCCAGTAAACTGTTTTGGCAAAAAAAATAGTCTCAAAATTTTGTCCTTTGTCCTGAAAAGAGGTGCCCGGTGATCTGGTTGCCAGTAAATTAATGTTTGTACAAACCTATATATGGATAAAGCACATTGGAATACATACATAAGGCAATATTTTATGAGTAGTGAAGTATACACTAGTGACTATTCAAACTAAACTGAGTTATGCTAACTATAGTGGCTTTAATATTGATATTTAAATATTTTTATAACACATACAGAAATGAGAGCAAATACCTGGAGGCAAGTTAGTTTTGAAACTTGCTGTTTTAAGTGTGAGCATGGAAATGTTGTGAAGGAAATTACTCATAGAACCTTACCTAGATCGCTAAGTCTGTGCTATAAAAGTTTTTAAATTCGACAGCTGTTTCCCGCCAAGACAGGGTGACCTTGTAGGAGAAAACACGTTCACTATTTCATGTGGATACTGGGGGACTAGCAAGAGGCTAGTCACCACTTTTGTGTTTAATTAAAAGAAATTTTATGTAAATGCTGATTAATGTTTATACATTGCACATTGGGATATTGGCAGTTTGGAGGGGTATGTTGTGTATTTTTATACGTATATACTTCTAAGCTGTTGTATTCTGGGCACCTCTGCAAAAAGTGATTGTGTGAGTGAGGAGAGTGTTGAATGATGAAAGTATTTTCTTTTTGGGGATTTTCTTTCTTTTTGGGTCACCCTGCCTCGGTGGGAGATGGCTGACTTGTTGAGGAAAAAAAAAACAAAAAACATTGCACATGCTACTATATATACCCACCTATGTACAGTAATAGAAAAATTTCAAACAAAACTATGGGTAACATGTCTTTACTTTTTTTTTTTTCTTTTTTTTTTAACCATCAGAGCTATAACTCTGGACCAGGTTTAGGAAGAAGTGAAGCTAAGGAAGGCATTACTCAGCTGAAAGAAGTTAGAGTACTTCCACGTCTTGAGAGTACCCCAATAGTTGGAGATCGTGGATTGCTACTAAATCTCTCCCCCATTGCTACTCGGCCCTCGGCTGATGACACAGCTGTACTAGACAACAAAGAAAACCATTTGGTGAGTATTGCATTTTTTTATTTGTTTTGAGGCTCTGTTTCAGTTTCTGAAGAATGTTCATTATGGCTGTTTTAAACCTTGGATACCGAGAAACTAATCAGTATTTTATAAACACAGAGGATTTTGTTGTGGAAGTAATTGACTAAAATGATTGCGGTGAGATAATTACAAAGAAGAAAGCTTTCATATCACCAGGGGTTAGGAGAGCATTAAAGTTGATCTCAGTGCTAGAAAAAGCTGTGAACTTATTACACAATAAAAATGTGTGGTGTAATCCATATCAAATTTGATGTACTGTGTGTTATCACAATTTGGCTGACAATAAAAGATGTACTGGTATGCTGAAGGTAGTTGAAAGTACTCTATTTTCCTGTTAGTGTGTGGTTGCTAGGGCCAAGTCTCTGTAATTACTTATTTGTAAGTGATCATATCTTTGAAACTTTCAGTTATCTTTCATATAGCTCTCATATTCTATAAAATGCATGTGAAGTGAATGTAGATAAATGTATTAATGGTAGAAGAGAGAGAAAGATAGTGTAAAAAAAAAAATTAGGGGAAATGAAGAATCATTTCCATAGTGATTGTTTAAATACTGGGGTGACGTACTGTGAAACGTGTAATACTGTGTTGATTGATAACCTAAGCACTTGTATGGTGTTAGGAAGATGAATGACATAAGGAACATTGTCATGTGAAGAGCAAGTCACAATACCGTTGCTGAAACATTGCTACAAATTTGGAAATTAAAACTAAATTGACTTTAGGCTTGTCCTTGACCATTATCAGGTTGGGGGTTGATAAGTCCAGGACAGAAATGGTAATTTCTCAGTGAGTTTGTTGTAATAGAGATGAAGATTATGGGCAAATGTTTTAAGAACATTTATGATAAAGCTTGGTATGCATAGACTTTACACAGAAGTGGCAGCAAAAAAGGATATTAGAAGCAATTTATTTGAAGGTAATGGGTTAGTAGCATTTTGTTAGCACAGTTGAACATCATTACAGACACATTAGGTCCAGGCACTTTCTCATATTTTCTAAATATCAATTAGAGCAAAGAATCAGAGTACAGTGGAACCCCGGTTCGCGATGCTATCGGTATCCGATAAATCCGATATCCGATGCATTATATCGCAAAAAATTTGCCTTGGTTCCCGTTACAAAACCCTGTATGTGATAAGATTCATACAAGACGTGTCCACATGTGGCCTGAACTGCCCCGTGTGTGCCAGTGTTTACAAGCCAGCCAGTGTTCACGCATCTAAAGATACATTCGGTACATTCCATATTATCCATATTATCATTTTTGGTGCTTGTTTCTGCAAAATAAGTCACCATGGGCCCCAAGAAAGCTTCTATTGCAACCTTTGTGGTAAAAAAGGTGGGAAATTAGTTATGGAAATTTATATGAAAGATTTTGAATCATAGAATCATTTGAATCATTAGAATGATGAGGGAAAAAAAGAGTAGTGGTGACTTAGGATTGTGGAAACAAAACATGACTTTGTCCTAGAGGCAAAGAGGGGAAATGATTGGTATAGTTTTACCAAGCAGCTTTATATGGTGTGTAAGGTGGGTATGACATGTATGCAGCGAGGAGAAGGCTGGAGGCAGTGAGATGTTGTCAATTGAGTAAGTATGGTTGATATAATGCGAAATTCGAGTTTGGAAGTTAGGAAGGTGTCGGGTTAATCCAAAAATGTTGTCCAGAGGACTAGGGAAGGGTTTGTAGTGGTTTCGGACATGTAGAGAATGGAGCGAAACAGAATGACTTCAAGAGTGTATCAAGTCTGTAGTGGAAGGAAGGCGGGTTTGGGTTCGCTAGAAGGGTTGGAGGGAGGGTATAAGGAGGTTTTTGCAGCAGGGCATGGACTTTCCAGCAGGCAACCGTGAGCGATGTTTGGATAGGAGTGAATGGAGACAAGGTTTTTCAATAACTTGACGTGCTGTTGGAGTTGTAGCAAAGAACAATTTATGAATGGATTCGGGAACCAGCAGGCCGGGACTTGAGTCCTGGAGATGGGACAACAGTGCCTGCACTCTGAAGGAGGGGTGTTAATGTGCGTTTAAAAATGTAGTTGTTAAAGCACCCTTTGCCAAGACGATGGAGGTGAATGATTGTGGAAAATTTTCTTTTTCGGGCCAACCCAGCCTTGGTGGGAATCGGCCGGTTGATAATAAAAAAAAAAATTTGAAGGGTTTGGGGCTAACCCTGAGAAGCCTATGCCAGTTGTGAAATCCATTGTGCCTACTTTAGAAATTAAGGAAATGTTGAACTGTGGGTTGAACTGCAAACCTTTATGGATGAAAATCACCCTAACACAGCTATTGCAAGCCGTGCTGGTGACTATTACACTGACAATGTTGTGAACCACTTTAGGAAAGTCGTAAAGGAACGAGGGGTACAGGCCTCTATGGACAGATATGTTGTGCGACAGAAGTCCAGTGACTCTCAAGCTTGTCCTAGTGGCATTAAAAGAAGAGAAGTAACCCCAGAAAAGGACTTGCTACCTCAAGTCCTAATGGAGGGGGATTCCCCTTCTAAACAATAGGTTCAACACGCTCCCCTCCTCCCATCCCATCAATCATCACCAGATCCTCAGTAAAGGTAAGTGTCAATTATTCTATTGTTATTGTAATTATTCTATTGCATTAAACTTAATATTTCATGTGGTAAAAGTTTTTTTTTTCATACTTTTGGGTGTCTTGCACAGATTAATTTGATTTCCATTATTTCTTATGGGGAAAATTGATTCGCTTTCCGATAATTTTGGTTTACGATGAGCTCTCAGGAACAGATTAATATCGCGAACTGGGGTCCACTGTACAGTGGACCCTCAACCAGCGGCATTAATCCGTTCCAAAGGTCTTGCCATTGGTCAAAATTGCCGTTGGTCGAGTTAATTTTCTCCATAAGAAATAATGGAAATAGAATTAATCCGTTCCTGACACCCCAAAGTCTGAAAAAGAAAAAACAATTTTTTTTTACATGAAATATACATTTCCTTATATGGAAAGGAATGGGACATGCAAAATAAACAATAATTAAATGCCACTTACCTTTATTGTGGAGTTGATGAGTGATGTGCCAGCAGCAGGGGAGATTCAGGATTGTCTATTGCTTTGAAGGAGAATCCCCTTCCAGAAGGACTTCAGGTACCAAGTCCTTTGGTGGGATTACATCCTTTCTTGGTTTTTTAATGCCACTAGGACCAGCTTGAGAATCACTGGACCACCGTCACTACCACCCTCTACCACCACCACTTGCGTATTTTTCTACAAACTTTTTCTTGAATTCTATCGTGTTTCTCGCATCCTTTACCAAAGGACTGGCTCTAGAAGCTTTCTTGGGGCCCACGGTGGCTTATTTAGCGGTTACAAACACTAGAAACAGTGGAATAAAACAAAATGCATGGGAGGCACACGTGGAAACCGACCACAACAGCTTGTGAACAATGGCACACAGTCTTGGAGTGGCTGGGCCCGCTCAGGCCATGTTCTGGACGAACGTCGTTGGTCAAGTTTTTTGCAGTTGGTTAAGGCATTTTTTTCTACGGCAAAAAGCGCAGTTAGACGAAATCGCTGTTAATGCCGCCGTTAGTTGAGGGTCGACTGTACATGTATAATTATACATACTGTATTTACTAATGCATTTACAGTACAGTGGACCCTCGAATTTCACCATCCCTTTTCTGAATGTAAAACTTTTTTTTTTTTTTTTTTTTTCCCAACAAATCGGCCATCTCCCACCTAGGCAGGGTGACCCAAAACGAAAATACTATAATCATCATTCAACACTTTCACCTCACTCATACATAATCACTGTTTTTTGCAGAGGTGCCCAGATACAACAGTTTAGAAGCATATACAGTGGTCCCTCGTTTTTCGTAATTAATCCGTTCCTGGAGGAGCTACTATAAATGAAATTTACGATTTGCGAATCAATTTTCCCCATAAGAAATAATGTAAATACAATTAATCCATTCCTGAAACTCAGAAGTATTAAAACAAAAAAAATTTTTACATGAAATATACATGTAGTACATAAACAATACAATGGGAAATGATGAATGAAACATTAACAGCATAACACTTGCCTTTATTGGTTTTAAGTTGGAAAAATTCAGATTCAGGAAGGATATAGGAAAGTACTGGTTTGGTAATAGAGTTGTGGATGAGTGGAACAAACTCCCAAGTACCGTTATAGAGGCCAGAACGTTGTGTAGCTTTAAAAATAGGTTGGATAAATACATGAGTAGATGTGGGTGGGTGTGAGTTAGACCTGATAGCTTGTGCTAACAGGTCGGTTGCCGTGTTCCTCCCTTAAGTCAATTAGACCTGACCTGACTATGATGGGTGCATTGGCTTAGAGGCCGTGTAAGGAGACATGGAACCTGCCTCGCATGGGCCAGTAGGCCTTCTGCGGTGTCCTTCGTTCTTATGTTCTTATGATATGGGAGACTGGAGGAGGAGAGAGATGGGTGTTTTTTACAGTTTGGAAGGGGAATCCCCTTCCAGCAACACCTCAGTACCAATTGCTTCTCTGGGGTTGCTTCTCTTCTCTGTTCTTTATGCCAATAGGACCACCTTGAGTCAATCTAAGTCCTTCTCGCAAAGTAACTGTGAGCAGCTCTGTTCTGGCTCTCTTGTAACACTTCCCTAAAATGGCCCAAGACTATGTCACTGGACATATTTTCTCACCTTTACCACAGGCTTGGCACTAGGAGCTTTCTTTTGGAGCCATGGTAGCTTATTTAGTACAGTGGACCCCCGATAGGACCTAATCCGTGCAAGAGGCTGCTGTTATGCGAAATGTTCGCTATGTGAATGATTTTCCCATAATAAATAATGGAAATAAAAATTAATCCTGCAAGACACCCAAAGTATGAAAAAAAAAAATTTTTTTAACCACAAACAAAATGTTAATTTTAGTACACACAAACTGGAAAAAGGCATGCACAATACATGACACTTTACTTTATTGAAGATCTGTGATGATT